CATAAACTTTACATCACGATGTGAAAATAATGTTGATACACATTTCTAGACGTGCAGACCAAGGGAAAACTTCTTCAGATGCAAGTAAACTTATATTTTGTTATTTACCCTACACATTTCTTTATAGCGCTGCCATATTGAATCGTGTAGAGAATCGGTTACGACGCATGCTCGGCGGCCATACTGTCATCGATTCTTGGCCATGAAATCTTTTCCGCTTTTCATCAGTTTAGGCAACATCAACTTTTTGCGCAACGCCCATATGCGACAAACTCGGTCGCCAATGCGAGTCATAAGTCCCGTGTAACATAAACTTAAATAAATAAAAATAAATAGGATTTAAAAGTGGCCTTTCCACAGAGTGGCTTTTCATCCACTGAATTTCAATAGTTCATTTTTGCGGAGAGAGAGAAAAACCGAACCACCGGAGAAAAACCTTTGAAGTACAGGACAGAACCACATCAATCAGCCTATGACTGCCTACTCTTAACCTGCTTTATCAAATCAAAAGTATGTATGTATGTTTTTAAGCAACTCTACTCACTCTAAACGTAACACAGGCAGAAGTGAAAGGCCTTTCTTTATCTTCGCATTTTCTTTCCTCTTATTTCTCTTTACTGTCGCACCCTATCTAGAGACTGTTCATCAATAATACCCAGACAATATTTATAAATTCTCTTAACACTGTACGTTCTTAATTGTCTATATGACTAAAGCGAATACACGTCAATCATCAAAAGTTTTAACAGCCTAAAGCACAATGTGTCTATTACTTTTTACTCTAAGGATCTTTAGTTAAAAGTGGTCTTTTATAATAAAATAGACGGCATTGATGCCAAAACTTTTATCAGTATTATCAGCAGACAAAATCAAGCAATATCTAAAAAAGATTACACTGTTGCCAGCGCGTTTAAAATTGAGTTTGAGCGTGCGCAATTGACGCCCAGCGGTTTCCTGTTTATTTCCGATTATTTCTTGAATTCTGTTGTTTTCAGTAAAAAAATTATGGGATGCCACAAGTATTAAAAAATGTATAGACTGCACAGGAGTCAGGGTGTCTTTTTATATAACTTTACGCTATCTAATGTGGAACACATTAAAAACCAAAGCGTAAAATCATTTGAAAAAGTAGCTTCGCCACTCTATGATTTATAAATATTTCTGCATTTGCTCCCTCGGCATCCCATAATTTAATATGGCTGCCGTTTCAATAACAAAGATTTTGTATCAAACTTTTAAGTGTTTAGGCCGTTAGCTATAAGGGCTATAATGGTCTCCTATTTTTTTCCGAGTGTAGGGGTATAAACACTGCCATATAGAATTAGACGGACAGACACACGAACGGACGGACGGACGGAAGTACGGACGGAAGGACGGATGGACGGACGGATTTTACTTGTTTGTACTTAATCGTAATTCATATTATCAAGCTCATGAATAATTCATGAGGAAAACACAACAGAAATCACGACCGTGAAGAGTGTTGTAAATCTGACTAAACTCTAAGTTGGATTTTCTTGGCCAGATTCATTTTAATTTTGAAAATTTTAGTGAAACACAAAGGAACTAACCTAGACGTTTGATAAGTAATATRCAGTATTCGTGTCCGTGTTCTATCCGATATACAATCACTCGGCTACGCCTCGTGTTCGTATATCTGATACAACACGGCCACTCATACTGTATATATTAAATGATATTGATGATGATAATAGTAGTAGTAAAATCTATGCTAATAAACCTGTTGCCCTCTAGAATTGCCTTTGACAAAAAAATACTTCCACTCCCCTCCCTTCTCTGTACTTAATGGATCCGGCTTTTTTAGCTCAAAATTACTAGCATTTCTAGTTGCCGGCTCACATAAGATTATTAATTATTATCCTTGCCCATAGGTTTTCGAATGCACGAAATAACGACGTCTGAGAGCTGTGGATTATTTTACAAATCTTTAAAGTAACTAAGCTAGAACAGTTTTCGTGTGGTTCCTGTAATTTAATAATAAGATAAAGTACGACAGAAACGCGCTAATGTCAGATATCTTTTAATAAATAAACCAACTTGGAACTCGAATAATCTGGAGAAAATTTAATATAGGCTAATTTTAAAATTATCCGGTTCGGGATGCGAGGCTAACCGATGCAAAGCAAAAGAAATGACAAAGAAAAATATACTACTACTACTACTACTGCTACTGCTACTACTAAATAATAGTAGTAATAGCAATAGTAGTAGTAATAACACTAATAATAATAATAATAATGATAAGTATATGTAATAGGATTCCATACTGTCCATTTAAAGTGCTTATAAGCCTTTACACAATATTTTCAGAATTGAGTCTTTAAATAGTGAATAGTTGATTGTGAAAATAATTCGTCATTTGAATGTCGGGTCTTTGAGATACGAAGGTTTATATTTCCAATATGTTAATGACTGACGTAACATAAGGGATTTGAGTTATTTTGTGGCAACTTTTAATATTGAATGCTGGACATTTTTTGAAAACAAATTTGTAAGAACCTTTACGTGAGTCACGAGTAAAAGGGTGATGCTTTTAAAATACTGTAATCCAGAACGAATGCAGTGATGTATATTGAATGATACCTTCGTATCTTAAAGACCCGACATTCAAATGACGAAATATTTTCACAATCAACTATCCACTATCTAAAGAATCAATTCTGAAAATATTGTGCAAAGGCTTATAAGCACTTTAAGAAATAATTTGACGAGGAAAATTCCGAGTACTTCCAAAATTGAATGAGGCCGTGGGCCGAGTCCAATTTGACAGTCAGAGGAATTTTTCGAGTCTGATTATCTTTTGATTGGGGAGCATGAAATCCCATTACCTATAAATTATATAACTGTCTAATTAATCCCATATCAACAAGACCTGTCCAATTGAGAAAATAATTGGACAGCTACCTATATGGGATAAATGAAAAGCTGTATAATTATAATTATACAGCTTCTACATATACTGATAATAATAGTAATAATAATAATAGTATTTGTAGTAAAGAAGTTTTTTTTCTTAAACAGTGATAAAGTTGCCCAGTCTTTAATTTTACTAGGCAAGTCTTTCCTGGGGATTGGAGCAGCAACTGTTGTAAAAATGTTATTATTTAATAAAGTAAAATATTATTATTTCATAATAAGAAGAAGAATAGCAGCGTAATGGCTTTTGCATTTTTCCATTAGCTACGCATCCAAGAAAATTCTGAAATTCTGATTCTAATGTAAAAGCATTTTTCAATTAAAGTAAAAATAGTATAATACCCGTGGTTTTCAAATCGAAACAAAAGTAAATAAAACCTTTAATTTTCTGAGGTTTTTAACTGGATCTATTATGCCTAAGTGCCCAAAAAAGTAATTTCCAATATAAAATGTTTCAAATTGAAACAGTGGCTCTTAAAAGGATGAGAACGAGATATGAAATGACTAGATCAATTTCAGTTACTTTACTAAAACCGGTAGGATAGAAAGAACATGTAAGATAGAAAATCTAAAAGTATATTTTGTCGTTAGTATTGGCAATAATCCTTCCAGGATTAGATACTATTAACTGCTGACTTGACGCAGAGTGTGTGCTTTTATTGATTATTCGTGGCATTAATTTCTCAAGTATTATCCTTGTCATCGATCACTAACCTAAGTCACTGAAGGGAAATGACGAAGTTAATCGATCTGTTGGTCACGTTCCAGATTTTCAAACATTATTTTTGTCCGTAAGATGTCAGTGGTTACCGATAGATTCACTGGATGCGAGTTACTGTTCGGATAAATGGGCAAGGAAAGACAATTTGACGAAAAGATCGAATGAAAAAATAGGAAGAAAAAATATTAAGATATATAAGAACAAA